TCTTCGAGGGAAAATGTCAGGTGACAGGGAAGTTTTCTGCCTAAAATCCTGGAAAGAAGTTGTCAGACAAAGCAAAAGAGATAGGAAACTGCATTATAGTGAGTCAGATCACTGGTCCACATAACTCAGTACAGTATTTACACCGACTGGAAGAAGCTCTCCAGGGTTTTCAGTCTGTCCCATTAGCATTTTAGTACAAATTTCTCCTTTTGTCTCTGTGTGCATGATATACACATTTTTGCAAAGCGAGTTCCACTAATATAATGCATTTTCTTAAGTTGTTTTCATATGCATGTATATATGCATGTTTATGCCCACTGAACCATAGTATATGCATTTTTGCACACGTGATGTGGTTGGGCATCTGCAGCGCAAAATTTCGATAAATGTGAATTTCAAAGCATAGCTGTGTTTCAGTTCACATGTTTCTGAAAAGATGAATTAGGTAGGCTTGCCTTTAAATGTAAACTGGATCCAATTTCTAAGCCAAGCCAACCTAGGGTCCAAAGAAGGTCCCTTGCAGAAGAATACTTGAAAAAAATGACCATAAAATGTCACCAGCCTACAAATAATCATACAGTGGTACCTCGGTTTACAAACTTAATCCATTCCAGAAGTCTGTTCTTAAACCAAAACCGTTCTTAAACCAAGGCCCGCTTTCCCTAATGAGGCCTCCCGCCGCCAGTGCCCTTGCACCATACAGATTCTGTTCTTAGACTGAGGTAAAGTTCACAAACCAGGACACTACTTCTGGTTTTGGGGAGTTTGTAAACCGAATTGTTTGTAAACAGGGCTGTTCTTAAACTGAGGTACCACTGTATTAACTTGTGTTCCAAAATGTATCTGTGCCAGACATTTGTGGTACATTAACAGCCTGAAAGCAAAACATATGTGCACACCTATGTCAAATTTGTTAAGAACTAGAGCTGCCCTTTGAGGTGTCTTTTGTTCAAATGTGACCTCTATTATTGCTTCAGTTTGTGTCCACAAGCAAGCCACCCAAGATGAGCAATATGGCCACACACAGTAATTGTAAGATACCAAGTAAACAAGCTGCACTTTGTTTTATTATCTATTTATTTTTATTTTACAGAGCTGCATCCTGCCTTTAAATATCCCCACAAAGTGGCAGAGTGCGCAAAGAAACAACCAATACCAATGCCATAAATACAATTTTAAGCATTTTAAATACCACAGATCCTTAAAATAGCCCACACATAAACAATGATCAGCTCTCATAGACATGAACACATAATACAGTGCCAACATTTCTGCTGCTCAATTAAAATCAAGCCACAAAAGTAGCGAGGAAGATATTAGTCTTCAGAATCAGCTTTAACACATGGAAAGATGTGACTTGGAACACTCTAAGCACTAAGGTTGTCCAGTGCCACTCAATGAAGTTCAAAGTTTCATTGTTCAACACTGCAAGTACCCTGCAAGGACATGGGGTCTGGAAACTAAGCCTTATGAGGAGTGCTTGAAGGAGCTGGGTATGTTTAGCCTGGAAAAGAGGAGACTGAGAAGAGATATGATACACATCTTCAAATATCTTAAGGGCTGTCACATGGAGGAGGGAGCATGATTGTTTTCTCTTGCTCTGGAGGGTAGGACTTGAACCAATGGCTTCAAGTTGCAAGAAAGGAGATTCTGACTGAACATTCGGAAAAACTTTCTGACAGTAAGAACTGCTCAGAAGTGGAACAGACTCCCACGAGAGGGGGTGGACTCTCCTTTCTTGGAGGTTTTTAAGCAGAGGTTGGATGGCCATCTGTCACGAATGCTTCAGCTGAAATTCCTGCATTGCAGGCAGTTGGACTAGATCAACCTTGCAACTCTAAGGTTCTATGATTCTATGATTGCACTCCAGGGAAACAGGAAGGTGCACAGAGGTATTCTCAAGCACACTGATTATGTTGAAAACCGCCTTCTATCAAGTCATTGGTCCAGTAATCTCTGTATTGTCTACTCTGATAGCCAGTGATGCTCCAGGGTTTCTGACAGGGAAAACTTCCAGCCCACCTGGAGATGCCAGGAATTGTAGATGCTCTACAACTGAGCTACAGCTCTCCCTTCTGTTTTCAGAAGGGAATGCAATTAGGTCTGTAAAGATCTTTCATGGCTACATGGGAGTGTCTAGCCTATGGAAAGAGTGTGGTGCGCATGAGGGGAGCAAGAAAAAAAATGGTGTCCACCCATCTTCAGTAATTCACTGAACACCCTTTCCATCTCACTTGAAAACTGTGCCTCTTCCACTTCCTTCCCAGGGTGAAAGCAAAAAACCCTAGTTCAACGGTTTAAAGACAATCTGTCACACCACCATCTCTTGAGGCTCTTGCTGAATCCCATGTTTATTAAGTCAATTGACAATATGGTACATTGCGGCATTTGTGTGTCCAGTTACTCTTTGATTACCTGCTCACTCCAAGGATTTCTCTTGTGATTCAAATGACTTGAAGAAACACCTGCCAGATGAACTCAGGCGGCCTTCTCTGCAGCTCTTCATGAACTTTACTTTTCTTTCTCTTTCAGGATGAGAGCTATTTGGCATGCTGGGCTGTCCAGGGATTTTCTGTTTTTGTTTTTTTAAAAAAATGTAGTTCTGGATTCACGCTTTGGCTCCTGTGCCCTCCTCTCCTTCTTCTCATTCTCTCAGCGCCTCAGTAATTTTGGTGCAGAGACTGATTACTGTCAGTCCTGCCTGAGGCTCACCTCGCATATTCCTGCAGAAAAGCAAAATTCATGCTCTAAATGAGCTGGCTCACATCTCACAATCTGCTCACTCTCTCAGCATTATATGTAGTTCAGCACCTTTATTGGCTGAGTCCAAAGTTATAAAAGTTTAAATTTCAGAGCTGTTCAGAAATAGAAGGCTGTTCTGAATGCCATGTGTATAATTGTCTCCTCCATCACCTTTGCTAGGATTGACACGGGTGAGGGAAATGTAGCAAGTAATATGAGCCCCATGCCACCCTGTGTAGAAGTTACCTGAGGGCTGAAGGAATAATCATAGTTCGGTGGCAGAGTATCTGCTTTGCATGCAGAATATCCCAAGTTCAATCCCCGCTATCTCCATGTAGGGCTGCAAATGTCAGTCAGTGCAGACAGCAGTGACCTAGATAGGCCATTGGTCTGACTCAGTATAAGGCAGCTTCCCATGTTCTTAAGGAGACTGGAGGGAGGGAAAGTGAAAAAATAGCATTGGAATGAAACTTTGTACAGTGGTACCTCAGGTTTCATACCCTTCAGGTTACATACACTTCAGGTTACAGACTTCGCTAACCCAGAAATAGTACCTCGGGTTAAGAACTTTGCTTCAGGATGAGAACAGAAATCGTGCTCCGGCAGCGTGGCAGCAGCAGAAGGCCCCATTAGCTAAAGTGCTTCAGGTTAAGAACAGTTTCAGGTTAAGTACAGACCTCCAGAACGAATTAAGTACTTAACCCGAGGTACCACTGTACAGACAAGAAACTTCAGTGGCTTTAGCCTGAAGTGGTTGAAAACCCATGGATTAGCCCAAGGTCACCCAAGACTTCCCGAGAACAGTAGGAACCAGGTAAATTTATGCCAAACCCCTAGTGAAATTAGCATTTGTTATTGTTGTTGATGTTTCCTTGAAAATGGAAAGGCAATAAACAAACCATGAGCATGAATGAGCCCTGCCACAACTGGGGAAAGCATAGAAGAAGCAGAAGCAGATGTGGCTTGCAAGGAAGAGGAAAGTGCCAACTGAAGAAGCTGGTTGCACTGAGTGCCTGGCTTGTCACCTCAGTATAGAGGTAATGCAGATGATTTAATGGGTGTTTTTTACTTTGGCTTTAAGAATGCATAGGTAGCAGCAAGAGTTCGCAGCATGGCTCTGAATTTGAAGTCAGGGAATCAGGATGAAGAATGTTGTGTGAAAGGAGACGTTCTGGATGACAGTAAAGGAGGGGCTGCATCAGGCTCTGCCAATGCCATACTTTGGGACTGGTGCCCAAGAATGCCCTGGGTAAGAACAAACTCACTTCTCATCTGTCTTATCTGAAGGGAGCATCTGCTAATTATGCTCCTGAATTATGCTCAGTTGAGCATGCATCTTTTGACCATGGTGCAAAAGGACCCCAGAGCTCTTTTGGCCAAGTGCGACGTAAAATCTCCCTTCAAGCTTTTGCCTGTGCATCACGATGACTTTGATCTGTTGGGATTTGCATTTGAAGGTGAATTCTGCTTGGGCAAGGCTCTCCTGATGAGATGCTCCATTTAATTTTTGGAATGGTGCTTGAGGGAGAGAATGGAAAATGCAGCAGCCACACATTATTTTTAGGATTCCCTGTTTGGAGTGATAGGCTTCAGCACGTCAGAGTGCTGTTAGCTGTACACCCAGAAGTTAACCGGCATGGTGAGGAGCCCCATAATACAAAACAAAACAAAACAGGACGTCCATAATCAAGCTTGTATTTTTGGTTTTTGAACCAGGGGCCACCAACACTTCTAGGTCTGTGGGCACATTTGGCAATTCTCATGGGCTGTCATGGCTAATCACAAACTTGCCTAAGAAATTGAGTGCAAGGCAGAGGCTGGCATTCAGCCCAAACTGTCAAACAGAATATTTGACCCCAGTTAGCAGAACAAAATACCCATTGCTCATCAGACAAACTGAATAGGATAAGAGGCAGTCTTACCCCAGAGTGCCATCCACCATTGCCTCCCTTCCTTGTTCTCTCACTCACACAACAATTACTGCCTTCCTTCCTATGGTTGCAATACTATGCCTGCCTGCCTGGGAGCAAGTCCCACTGTGCAAGATTGCTCTGTCTAGCCCACTACTCTCACCCATTCAAACACCCTCTCCTCAATGTTATTCTCATGGATGGCATTCTTGCTCCCACTTGCCAAGCTCAACTAGTCCTGTCACCCATTCATAGGGACATGAGAAACTGCCTAATATTGCATCAGACGCATTGGTCGATCTAGCTCAGTGTTGCTTTCACTGACTGGCAGCAGCTCTCCTGGGTACCTGAAGATGCCAGGGATTGAACCTGGGACCTGAGATCTTCTGCATGTAAGGCATAAACTCTACCACTGAGCTATGGCCACACATTGCTTCCCTGGGATGTCCTTTGCCTGGCACCTCCCAATGAAAGTACAACAGCTAATAGCACACTGAAAGCAGAATAGCAGCAGCAGGAACTACGCACAACCAGGAGGCTGCAAATGAATCCATGCATGGTGCTTGCAGACAGCACAATGGATATCACAAGTAATTGAGATGCACCATGGAATAGCGTTTGCAACTCTCATTCGTGACCCCAGTATTAGGCATTGTGAAAGGAGTTTCTAGGTTACCAGTGAGATGGGTGGAGTAAACAGTCTGAGAATGCTAAAAAGACAAAAAGTAAGAAAGAAAATCACATGTGATGGTTCTAAGGTGGGCTCCCATGCCTGATTATACATATCCACAGTGGGTAGGGAAACGCCACATTATTTTATGAGTGCACCCTTAGGGTGGGAGAGATTTCTAGCTGAGTTGTAGGTGCTTCCAGGTGTTGCAGAAAGGTCAGGGTCTGAGTTACTGTATCTTTAAGGGACAAGTACTATGCAGAATGTCCACAAACCAACTATTGATTGCCACGGACTCAAGATAGCATCCCGTTTATCACCCTTGGTGTTCAAGCAAACAGAAGCGAGTAGAACCATTTGAGCTGCATCCAAATAGTGAAACAGAAAGGTGTAGGTCTCAAGCAGAATATGAGAGATTGTGTCCTTCAGCCCTTTGCACTGATTATTAGCAAAATAGCATAACAGAAACCACTGAAGACAGAGGGCAAGAAATGATGAAGAGAAAGAAAACTGTATATTATCACATATAACACACAACACCAATAACCAATGTGCAAATATTAACTAAAAAGCAGTGAATTTATGGCCTAATGGTTCAGACCTCAGTGACCATATTTCTTCTCATGCAGATGCTCATTTACCATTACGGATAGGCCAGTGTTAAAAAAGAAGGGTTGGTCATCAGATCTACCCTTCAGCAGCAAACTGATCTGTATCTTTCTGCAAAGACATACACTGACAGCTGAAAACTGGTGCTTAAATATTACCTCCCAGAAGTGACAGGAGGAAAAAATATATACGCTTCCAGTGGAACTGAGTCAGCACTTGTACTGTTAACCTGAGAAAAAAAAGTGAAGGACATCTTCAGAAGTGAAGTTTGTTCTTGTACATTATGAGTGGATAGTCTTTCAGGGAGGGAGATATGGTCTGAACTTAACCATGTTAACGTGGAAATAAGTCCCGTTCTAATTCAGTGCAATTTAGGCTGCAATATTAGCCCCACTTAGCTGGGCGTAGGCCCTGCCGCACTTATTTCTAAGTAGACATGGTTGGGATTGAAGTCTTACTTCCTAATAGGAAAGTTTAGGATTGTAGGCTCAAAGTAAAGCATGACCAGTAGCTCCTTAAAAGTGGGCTTCTTCTGGACATAATAATAATAATAATAATAATAATAATAATAATAATAATATATTATTTATGCCCCAATCATCTGGCTGGGTTTCCCCAGCCCCTCTGGGCGGCTTCCAATACAGTGGTCTGTTAAACATTAAAAGCTTCCCTAAACAGGGCTGCCTTCCGATGTCTTCTAAAAGTCTGGTAGTTGTTCTTCTCTTTCCACAGGGCAGGTGCCACTACCAAGAAGGCTCTCTCCCTGGTTCCCTGTAACTTGGCTTCTCGCAGTGAGGGAACCGCCAGAATGCCCTCGGTGCTGGACCTCAGCATTCGGGCAGAACGATGGGGGTGGAGACGCTCCTTCATTACGCTCTCCTAGATTTTTCTTTTCTTTTCTGTTGGGTCAGGAGGCTGTAGACAGCTTAAGAACATAGCATCCTAGAACTCTAGTGTTGAAAAGGGCCCCAAAATTCATCGAGTCCAATCCCCTGCAATGCAGGAATCTCAACTAGATCATACATGACAGATGGCCATGCAACCTCTGCTTAAAAACCTCCAAGGAAGGAGAGTCCTCCACTTCTCGTGGGAGTCTGTCAAACAGCTCTTAATGTCAGAAAGTTCCTCCTAATGTTTAGTAAGAATCTTCTTTCTTGTAATTCGAAAGGTTGGGTCCTACCTTCTAGAGCAGGAGAAAACAAGCTTGCTCCCTCCTCCATGTGATAGCCCTTGAGATATTTGAAGATGGATATCATATCTCCTCCCAGTCACCTCTTTGCCAGGCTAAACATACCCAGCTCCCTCAACCATTCCTCATACTTGCTTAGTTTCTACACCCTTGATCACCTTGGTCTTTTCACACATTCCAGCTTGTCAATATCCTTCTTAAATTGTGGTGCCCAGAATTGGATACAGTACTCTAGCAATGGTCTGACCAAGGCAAAATAGAATGGTACTATTACTTCCCTTGCTCTGGACACTAGACTTCTGTTGATGCAGCCTAGAATAGCATTTACTTTTTTGCTGCTGTATCCCACAGTTAAGCTTGTGGTCTACAAAGACCCCTAGATCCTTTTCACATGCACTACTGGCAAGCCAAGTGACACCCCCCCCCATCTTACATTCATTGCCCTAAACAGGTAACATTTGAAACACTCAATTTTCTGTCCATGTTCCCCATTAGTAAGACAGATGTGATGATAGATGTGAGACACATTTTCAAGTGTCTCTGGATTTTAACAAAAGTTAAAGGATTGTTCTGAACTTCGAAGAATACCATATAAGCATGACTGTGGATAATCGAAATTACTCATGAATATTTTGGATGCTCCAAATGCAATCCTATACAGACTTACCTGAGAGTAAGTCTCACTGAACTCAATGAGACTTAATTCTGAATAGAAATGCAACAGATTGTGCTGTCACTCAATTAGTTGCACCATCTAGCTAAAATATAACCTAAATACCACTGGGGATAGTGAGGAGTATTTAGCTGGTTTTGTGCATGAGACTTGGCTTTGAATGGTGTAATAAGACTGCAGATATCACAGCAAAAATGCTTCATGGTATTGGATTTTCTGATGGTGCAAAGTGGAATAATAGATATAATAACCCAAAATACATCAACACCAAACACTCAGCTACAGTCCATATTTATTGCAGCAAGAGAAGTTGTCTTTTTAAAAGCAAGGCTTTGCTACCTATTTTCATAGACATTTGCTTTGTCTATTATGCTTAATGTGTTTATTCCAGCAGTGAGAGGCATTTCTGTTGTTGATGATGTATTTGTTCCTAAATTGCTTTGAGATGTTTTATAGGAAGTGATTTCTAAGTGGAAATAAATAAATAAATGCTTTTAAAAAAAAAATTCTTTACTGAAGCATGATTGTGTGTTATCTGGACTATGAGCTATGGAAACCCCTTCCTAAATGATACTGCAAGCATTCTGACTGGACACAGGAAAACTGTTGGCATTGAATATATTGTGGTCTAAGCTTAGGGAGTCAAATCTATTTCTCATAATGCAATGAGCCGGAAATTAGAAATCTTTTATTTCCAGTCAAGGTACTTCTCATTAGGAATGAGGGAGAATTTCAATTCATTTTGTATTTAAAGGTGACCTTACCTACCACTTTCTAAAACAATACACATAGCCATCCTTTGAAATCCACATTTCTCTGAATTTTGTCTTGAAGTTGTCTATCCAACTGATGCGAACAAAACTGTATATGCAGCATAAAAAAATTAGAAAAAATAACATACAAAATTGCATTATATTAGGGGAAATGCTTTGCAAAAAATCCATTAGGCAAAATTGCAATCAAATTGTCTATATTAGGATAAATTCACTGATGAATTTTCATGATGACTTTTTAAAGAAAATCACAAATGAATTTAACTTTGTAAAACAGAGAAATTGAGGGAAACTGAAATTGGCATAGTCACCCATTCCTCCTTTTTATGAATGAAATTGATTTAACTCTAATTTCTAAATACCTTCAGGAAGGACTGATTATTGTTTCCTTTCTGATAATGTCCTGCAAGAATGTTGCTTCCAAAAATACCCATTGAAATGTATTGGGTCTGACTACAAATATGAACTCTGTCAGCCTGCACAAGAAATTCCAAGCACAGAGCTTTTGCAAAGCGGACTAAATATAAGAAATAAACAGTAGAGGGCACTGATCCAACACTGAATGGAATAAACTTTCAGCTTCACTTTCTCTTGTCCAGGACGATCGTAGACTAATCTAGTAATATCAATCATTTTCTCTCTTTACCCATCCATATTAATTGCTAGAGCAGGCACAACCTTTCCAATAGGTTATAGCAACACTCCAAAACACTGCTACAATGCATCCAATCTTCATGGTGACTGGAAAATTAATTGCAAGGCTTTGTAGGAATTCAGGAGTTTCTAACATTGTTGTTTGTGGGAGCAAAAGCAGCATGCAATTTATTCACAGACACATTCTGCCATGGAAGCTCAGAGGAATGATAAGCCATCATATCCCAGTCATCTCTCCACTCTTAGTCATGAGACATTGCACGGAAGTACAATTCTCCAATAGGGATGAATGGACCTGTTCTTATCTGTCTCACTGCGAGAAGTCAAGCTACAGGGAACCAGGCAGAGGGCTTCTCGGTAGTGGCGCCCGCCCTGTGGAATGCCCTCCCATCAGATGTCAAGGAAATAAAGAACTATCTGACTTTTAGAAAACATCTGAAGACAGCCCTGTTTAGGGACGTTTTAATGTTTGACCTTTTATCATGTTTTTAATATTCTGTTGGAAGCTGCTCAACAGAATTATGCAGGAGGGTGGGACTAAGTCTGTCCCATCCTATTTCCATGTGGGTTTTGAAGGCGAAATCTTACACACAAGATACTACATCTACACACACACACACACACACACACAGAGAGAGAGAGAGAGAGAGAGAGAGAGAACACACACTACATATAAAACCAATTTTTTTGGGGGGGGTGTAACCAATGCTGGCCTATTCCTCTATGGTAAGCACTCTCAATAATGATTGGCCTTACCCCCTGAACATCAACCTGCACACCTACTATTTGTCACCTTTGTCACCTATGAATAGACTGGTAAATTTAAGAATCCTTGTAGATGTAGTGCTGATATTGTC